TGTTAATAGAAACAGAAATTTTGAGATAATTGAAGTTTATCGTTATTCATTTGTTTTGATTTTCGGGATTAATCAAACAAGCATATGTAATAATAATATCCTGGCTTATCGGAGTTTATTGAATTTCTTCCTAGGTTGTGTTAACGATAAGCCGTACTGCCACTTGATCGGCTGCTTACGCAGCCGATCAGTGGCAGTACGGCTTATCGTTAACACAACCTAGGAAGAAATTCAATAAACTCCGATAAGCCAGGATATTATTAATTAATCCCCTGCCCTCTTACGTCATTAATTAAAAGCGTCATAACCTCAAATAAACTATCAATACAATATAAAAGAAGTTTTAATTGAAACGTAAAAAAAAAAAATTCTTTTCTTTACTGTAAAAATGGAATCATCATTTATAAAAGCTACGGATTATTATGCTACATATGGAAATTTGTCTAAGCGAAGAAAGTTTGAAAAACCTTCAGATGAGAAAATTCAATCATATATAAAAAATTCAGTTCCTGCGAATACACAAAAAAGTACAAATGTGTGGGCGAAACTATTTAAAAAATATGTAAATGATACTCACCCTGATATAAACCTTGATACATTACAAGACAAGATAACAGCTGCAATCTTCTTTCCGAATTTGTTGTTCAAGCAAGAACTCGGAATAATGCTGAGTATTGTTCTGATTATTTATATGTGTGGGTATTTGTGCAATCAATCGGTATTTTCAATCAACATTTAAGCACGAACCTATTAATATCCATAATGATTTCGAATTTAAAAAATTCCGAGAAATTCTTGATGGTCGAATGAAGGAATTAGAGGAATCATCTGTATATAAAAGTGCAGATCCTTTGACAGAAGAGGAAATGAAACTTATCTTTAACCATTCACAACTTTCACGTGATAATCCAAAAGGTCTTTTATATCGAGTATTTCTTTGGATCGGTTGTATTACGGCAAGATGTGGTGGCACTTATCATAAACTAAAATTAAAAGATTTAATACTACGTGATGATGGAGGATATAATTTGTTTACAGTTCATGATAAAACACATCAAGGTGGATACTTTCATCATCGGCGTGCTTATGATAAAGCCAAAGATCAAACACAAATTATACCACCTGATAACCCTGGTAAAATTGGTCCAATCGCTGACATTAATCTTTATATATCAAAACGACCAATTGATGCTGATGAGGAATTTTTTCTTCGTCCACTTATTAATTATTCAGGTATATTATTTTAAATTTTATTTTAAATTTTTATTAAATTTAATCTAATTTTTTTTTTTTTTTTTTTTTTTTTTTTTTTTTTTTTTTAGATAGTGATTGGTATTCAAATAAACATTTGGGTCGTGACAAGTTATTTAAGTTTATGAAAGAGATTTGCTCTCTTACAGGCATTGATTGTACTACTAGAAGAATTGTCAATCATTCTATTCGGAAACATACAGCTCAAAAATTAAACGATGCAGGTGTTGATGTTCAAGCTGGAATGAGTATTACTAAGCATCGTACCATTGAGGCATATAATATGTACCGGTCTCAAAATGAGCAACAACGGGTTACAATTGCTAAATTAGTTGTGCCACCTGGAATAACGAAGGTATATAGATATGCATACGCATATATGTTTATAATGTTTATCATGATATCTATTTATATTTTTTTTTTTAAAAAAAAAAAAATAGTTCACCGATGATGAAGTCTACAACCAAAATAATGAAGGTTTCAAAATAATTAATAATGAAGCCGATAAAGTCAATGAAAATAATGAAACCGATAAAGTCAATGAAAATAATGAAGCCGATAAGGTCAATGAAAATAATGAAGCCGATAAGGTCAATGAAAATAATGAAGCCGATAAGGTCAATGAAAATAATGAAGCCGATAAAGTTAATGATGAAATTAATGAAAAGAATAATAAAGTTAATGATGAATTCAAAGAAAATAAAGATGACGACAATAATAATAATGGTGAATTATTACTTACCCAATCCCGATTGCCGTTTACTCCTTTGTCCACCAATGAAGAAATTCAAGAATTCTCTTTTAAAGACTTAAATCTTAAAATTTCTAATTGCAGAATTAAAAATTTTAAGATAAATTTTAATCGCTAGATTTTTTTTTTATTTCTATAATGATGTAAAAAATATTAGCGTTAATATAAAGAAATAAAATGCTTTAAATATTAATTAAATACTTTCCCGGTTTGTTATTAGTAGTAATTTCCTGGATAGCCAAGTTCACTATGTTAAATAATGCTTATCAAGTTTCTTCATATATGAAATTTCCCAGGAAATTATTCTTTATAATTCCCTGGCTATAATTTTTACTAACGGTTGCAAATTACCTCCTGAAAAAAATGACGTAAGAGGTCACATGCAGGGGGTTAATGATGTACAGTACTGTTTTGGATCGCATAATCTGGACACTTTATTTGTACGTAAGGCGAGACCAACTGGATTCTGTGTTTTACATTACCCCCCCTCTCCCCTCCGGAAGAGGGGGGGGGAGGGATTTGTGGTTTACATAGTAAAATTTTCAAAAATTTTTTTTTCA